TCAACACGTTAGGAGAACCATAATCTTTAGACTTTACCCGTGAGCAAGTGATTCGTGTAAATTTCTCAAATATAATAATAATAATTTTTTTAAATTAAAATTAAAATATACGGTTATGAATTGTTGCATGTTGTTGGGTCCATGACTTATAAAGTCGACCCGACCTAAATTGATGGTGCTCTAATCTTTTGCTTATAAGAGATGTTTAGATGCTGAGTAGTCAGAGTATATAAAGAGAGAAGAAAAAATGCGCAGGAGAAAAGCACAAGTCAAAGAAGAAGATTCTATAAGGAGAAACACTTATGTGAGACACTTGTGAGTAAATCTATCCTTTTGGGGGTGAAGTTCTCTGAGTAGTGAATGAGAGAGAATCGTTTGTAAATCTCATTATTCATATTGGAGTATTTTTTGGACCTGGTCCCGTGATTTTTACTTTCCACGTTGAAGAGATTTTTCAGTTAAAATTCTTGGTGTTCTCTTTCTCCTTATATTTGTTTTTAATTTGCTATTACTGTTCACCAACGCTTCCGCAGGCCGACTTGAAGAATGCCGGACTAATTGAATCTGAGATAGGGCTAAGAATTGCCAGGCTCCGTGATACGACACATGTAAAGACTATTATTTTGCGTTTCTTTTAATTTTATTTTAATGATCATACTTAGGGACTTCTTGAAACATATAATGCATAAATCATGTGATAATGTTTGTTAATAATTATTGCATAAAAAATATTTTACTAATACGTATACCATTTGTATGATAAAAAAATTCCTATAAAAGAGGCAATGAGAATCGTTAGTGAGTGCTTCAAAATTAAGAGAGATCAAAGAATTTGGGATCTTTAGAACTTTGGACAAAACTCTACGGCGGGGAGGGGGAGAAAAAAAAAATTGAGAGTGAGGAAATTTGAAATTAAAGAAAGATACAAGAAAAAAATCAAAGGTGTTCGTGGTCTAGATTGGATCGATTATGAAGTAAAAATAATCTGATCCAATACCTTCGATTTGATTTTTTACAAAAATATATAATCCAATCCAATTTTATTCAGTTTGATTTGATCGGTTTTTGATTTTTCGAAAAGCTTAAAATTTCATACATACAAATCACCAACTATCTAAAAATCAAGTTATACAAAGTTACAAACTACTGAAAAATTCAAGTCTTAAAATTAATGAAGAGTTAAAATAGATTAATAATAAAAAACTAAAACAAGATAGTTTGTTATCAATAACATCTAAGATTCCATGTCTACAAAGCAACAAGATTTCAAGTCACCATCTTTTAAAAATAATAAATACATAATACATTAGATCGATTTTCATCAATCAAATCGAAAATCGATCCAATACAATTAAAATATTTTTTTTTTTTGATTCGATCAACGCAGCTTGAATTGGTTGTTGAGCATCTCTAATAAAAACATAGGGGGTATAACTTCTTTTTTTTTTGTATTATTTTTTTTCTTCAATTCCCAAAACGATCTCAATGATACATCGTGTTCCAGTTTCTGTTACGTTATTCTTTTCATCAATTTGTATTTTTTCATGTTATAATTACATATATAGTTACTAAATTATAATGTAACGATTTATATTTTTGCAGCTATAATATATATATATATATATATATATATATATAATTATTAATTTATATTTAAATCATTTATATTTCTACAATTCAAATTAAATAAGTTATATTTTTGTACTTTATATTTTTATACTTTATCAATATATATGTAATTAATTCATAAATCAATAATTTATATTTTAATAATTTAATTTTCTGTAATTTATAATTTTCCATATTATAATATATATTAATTAAGAGAGTTTAAAAATTTTGTTCTTATAATTGTCGTATTAGTGTATAAAAATATATATGTCAATAGTATCATATATATGATAAATAATGTATATGTTTATAGGGGAGGATTCTTTTGATTCCAGAATAAGATTTAAAAGTCTTACTCCCAATCTTAACCATTAATGGACGGAAATCATCGATTGTCATTTGTAGTATAATAAATAATTAATTAATTAGTATAACTTCCTAAATTATAATCGTTAAATGGACTAAAATCAACGATTAAGATGAAAAATAAGATTTATAAATCTTACTCTAGAGTCCTTGTACATGTATATATATTAACGGAGAAAATCATCTCCGGTTGTCCTCACAACAAAAAAGTTTAAGTTTTTTTTTTAAGGACATGTGTCTCTGACAGGAAACCAAAACCAAAAGTTTCGTGAAAGCCGATTTTGCCACATATTAATATATTAATTAATATATCTGCATATTTTTTACATTGATATGTTATATCTTTAATTTTTTATCTTATAAAATTTACCAAAGTAAATGTCATATCGTAAACATTCATATAGCTTATAATTTCCAATATTTATCATAGTGATGTAATCTTCTTTTACTTTCTTTTTGACGTCAGATTTAAGTAATTGTATATTATGAATTGTAAATTGTTTTGAAATATTATCGAACCATTTTGGAGATATCCACATATTTATCTGCTTAAATTTTTTATGAATTTTCTTATAAAAAGTAATTTAAATATGTGCATAATCGAGAAATTGAATTTCTTAGATTAAAAAATGCATTCCTCTCACAAGGGATGCCCTTGCAAAAGTAAAAGCTCTGAAACAGAGAAAAATCTATGCTCATAAAATGACCTTTGAAAAAAAAAAGGTATATATGTGCGATACTAAGTTATTTTAGTGTGTTATAGATTTAATATTATTCAATTAAAACCATGGATAATTTTTCTATCCTAAGAAATACTACATTTTTGAAAAAAATATTTTTAATTATTATCTTCACTAGCAAAAATATATCATTAATTGTATATTTTTAGATATTAAGGATAAATCCTAAAGTAAATGTTACTTGTGTCTAAAGTAAAAGTATTATCCAGTGTTTACTGGAAAAAAAAAAAATTTTATCCAGTAAAATTCGTGTTTTTATTCAGTTATGAAGTTATATACTAGAGCATAATTATATTTTAGTTGTGGTATTTATATTTTGTAATGGTGTGATTTAATATCATATATTGGTTTAATGCTTCATACTTTGTCATTCTGAAAAAAATTATTTTTTTTAAGACTTACATTGCAACTTTTCGTTATAATGTATATGTAGAATTAGAATTTAAAGTATATATGTAACATTCTTCGGTTAATAATCAAAGAATGTTATATTTATGGTATCAAAGTAATCCTTTCTGTGGATTATGTATGAATGTATGTTTAGTCAACCACAAATTCTAATTACTTTGGTTGGAGGTTATTGAGAATGATCAACTCAGTAATTTGTTTATTGTATAAAGGATCATAGCAGCTAACGGGCAACAATGTTCTGTTTGCAATGCAGACACTTGTAGGGTTCTTTTGAGCGGATGACTGGCGCCATACAAGAACAGGCTGCTACAATTAATCACTCGACTTCTACAGCAACTTCAAGAGAATAAAAATGCAAATGGAAGTTCGGGGCAAAGTGAAATGTATTTATATGTGTTTCTTCTCTTTTATCATATGCCATCAAATAAAAATAATAATAATTCCTTCGTTTTCTTTTCTTTTATCCGTTTTTCATTATTTATTTTTCCTTTTCCTTGATGACAAACAGACTGAAGCTCTTGTTAATTGCTAGCCATAAATGCATCTATATACCCACTTGTCGAAACAGTAGGCAAACACAGCTTCTCCCAACAAGTGACGGGTGGAAACGAAAAGGATGAGAAAAAAAAAAGTGTCCTTTTTAAAAAGAAAAGAAGCTTAGTATTTAAGTGTACATCTCGAAAATGCATAAGTATAATATTAAATTTATTTTCTTTATTTTTTATGTCAGTAGCCATTTTTTGAAAAGAAAGAAAATATGTTTTAATATTATAATTATGCATTCTCGAAACGTACAGTTAAAATTGTGAAAAGAATAAATAACTTATATCATTTATAGTGATACTCACTAAACTCAAAGTATAATTAGAATTTTACTTTTACAATCTATTGATGTTCACTTTTTTTAAAAAGAAAAGATAAAATAATTTATTATTAATAAAAATTTACAATTATAAATTAAAAATCATTTAATATTTATTTTCTATTTAAATAGTTAGAAGTTTACGACAAAATTATCTGATTCAGAATCTAAAATTGTTGAATTTAACGAAATTAAAAATATTTTTAAAAAGTAAGACTAATAATTACAAAAAATGAAAATTTTAAATTGTAAATGAAAAATTTTATTTTAACTAAAAAAATTAAAACCAATGAGAGTTTCACTCGATCTAATTAATTCAATTTTTTCAAATAAAAAAGAATTCGACATAATTAAATAAAAAAAAGTTAATTATAACAAAGATTAGTGTTTGCCATTTTAAGTAAGAAAAAATACAAATAATAAAAATCAGGAGAGAGAAAAGTGAGTGCTTTTTTTTAATTTAAAATTTAAATGAAAAATATTAAATTATGTCTTTCTCTCACTTAAAATGATACAATTATATATTCTTTAAAATAAAAAAAAATTTCCCTCAACAATTTAAAAAGTCAAGAAATTAAATTCATGTAAAAAAAATATTAAAAGAATAAAATCGTATATCAATAATTATAAAGGGACAAAAATGCAATGAAGTCGAATAATTAGAGGAGTTTGCATTTGTTACACAAAAAACATTTTGTAGAGCTCATATTTTTTGAAGAAAAAAAAAAAAAAAGTATGACACATAAAACAAATCTTTATAACATTACACAATTATTTTTCATATAACATAACTCTTATAAAACCCATAATTAAAATCAGTTCCCTGTGACAACTGAAACAGCAATTGTACCCCAGAAAATTATTTAGGAAAAAAAACTGTAATACTTATATTTTCATATAGATTTCATATATAAAAAATAACATTTTTTTGAAAAAGAAAAGTACAAAGCGTTACAAAACTCGACAGCTCATCTGCAGATTACACTTTTACATAGCATTAAAAGCACAGAGGACAAGTACATCCAACGCAGGATATGGCTAATCATCCAAATTTCATAAAAATTTTCCCATATTCCAATATTACCCCTGACATTCATCGAATTTTACATCACAGAGCAAGCATTGGGGTTCTCATCACTGAAGATCTGAGGTGGGTATGCTGGCCCAGGGTATGCATAGAATTCCATGCCATACCTTGGTGGGTTGTAATTGTAATTGTTATTGTAATATTGGTATTCATTCTTCTTCACCTCCACCACCTTTGTTTCTTCTCCAGTTCCTTCCTCTGCTTTGCCCTTTCCCTCTCCCTCTCCTTCTTTCTTCTCTTTTCCCTCTCCTTCACCACCACCCTTCTTCTCATCTTTCCCAACTTCCTCACCTTTCTTCTCATCTTTCCCAACTTCCTTTGCTTCCTCTTTTTTCTCCGGTTCTTCCTTCACGATCACTGCTTGCTTCCCGGTCCTCTTGTACACGTGTTCCACTAGCTTTGCTGCCTCAAACACTCCCTTCACACTCACTTGCGAGTTCTTCAGATCGGGTTCCGCTGATTCTACTCCTGTGTATTTATATTTTATATAAATGATGATGGGCTTTTATAGTAAATGCAATTTAAAATTACATTTATTATGTGACAAAAAACTGGACCACTTTCACTGGAATATGACAACTTTAGTATTTTTTTAAGTTGAATTTGGAAGGAATAGAAATTATAATCTCTTTTTAATACAAGAGAATATATCAAACTGTAAATTATTTTAAATCAACTGAATCATAGAATAAAACTGATAGATTCCTCCAGATATGAGAGACCCTGAGTTCCACGAACAAGAGAAGCAAAATGAAAAATGCAAATCTGAAGTGAAAGGTGCCAGAAACTACAAAAAAGAAAAATGAACTTGTTACACACCTTTCATTCTCTCTATGCGTTTCTTGATTTCCTGCGCACAAGCTTCGCAATGCATGTAAACTCTCAGAACAACAGCGATAATCTGAGGCTGTCCAATAAAAAAATAAAATAAAATAAAATTTGATGAGCCAAATAAAAGAAAAAGATAAACAGATTCAAAGAAATTTAAGGGTGGGAAAAGAGAAGAAGGATTTTTATTAAAAGAAACCTCTTCTTTCTTCTCCTCGGGCTTAGGCTCCTCCTTCTCTTCGGGTTTCTTCTCATCCTCTGCCGGTGGTTTTGGGATCGGAGAAAGAAGCTCAACCTGTCTATGGCTCTTCCTCTGTACTCTCTCCAGAACCTTCACTGGATCCGCTTTTTCACCTTTAACAACCACCTTGTGAGACTTGCAATCAGTGATTACATCTTCAACCCCTGAACTCGAACACCAACAAACAAATCATTCAGACAAAGACTTGAATCACATAATAATGGGAAGAAAAAAGAATGTAAACAAAAAGTGACACTCCTCACCTGGGAAACCTTTAAGCGACCGACGAACCTTGCGAGCACAACCTTCACAATGCATGAACACTTTAAGCACAATTTCTGGCGGCGCAGCTTCATCCTTGGATTCCTCCGGTTTTTTCTCTTCGGCCGGTTTTTCCGGTTTCTTAGCTTCCTCTTTTACTTCTTCCTTCTTGGGTTCCTCTGGTTTCTTCTCCTCCACTTTGCTTTCCTCTGGTTTCTTTCCTTCCTATTCAGAATGAAAAAAAACAAAAATCAGAACCCAAAACAATAAAGATAATGAACTGAGGAGAAGAAAAAAGAAAGAGCATGGTTATGAAGACCTCTCCCATTGGTTCACTGCGGAGATAAGCTTGCTTGGTAGTTCTGCTGCTGCGGCTTTTGCTGTAAAATTTCGCTCTTTTATTTCTGCAGTGTTATGCTCTTTCTTTCTTTCTCTTTCTTATATTATTATTATTATTATTATAAAAGCTTCGGTTTCTTTCTCTTGCTCATTTGGGTCAGGACCATCACATTTGAAGCCACTCATTCTATCATCATCACATGACGTGGTTTTCTTTAAGAGGCACGTGCAACGCAGGAGGTTCCTGCTTCAGACACATGGGACTCGGAGGTTACACTCACATTCTCGCATTACTGTTTACTACTACTTATGCAGTTTTGGGAATCTCTAGAACCTGTTCTCCTGTGGCCCTTCCCACCTCACTTTCCTACTCCTTCAAGTATCACCCATCGTTTCACTTGAATTCAACGGTACAGATTCAACCAAATCTTAATCCATCAAGTAAAACTGTAAAACTAGCCTCGGTTGGTTACGGATTCCCAATTAATTTAGCATCTGTTACCGTCTTTGACTATGATATATTCAACATTGTTTCATTAATTTTAATAATAATTTTAATAAAAGTTGAATCATCTATTTTTTAATTTTTTAAGTTTACCACGAGGGGGGACGTTGTTGTTTCACGTTTTGATTACCTGTGCTGGACATAATATTAGATTAAATCCCTTCTTCAGTGTTTGAGGATAAAAGAAAACGGAAGAAAATGAATCCCTGATTGGCCCATCTATATAAAGACGTTGTGTTTTTTCTTTTTATATTGATTATATTTACAATCTCTACACAGTAGTCAAACAAAAAAACAATCATAAAATTTTAGTATCTAGTGTAACAGATGCGGCTCGTTACTTTAAGAAGCCTAAAGTTTGATTAAAATGAGACTTTTTAATTGAAAGTATTAAAAAAAATAATTCAAATTTATTTTTAATCAATTTTATTTTTATTTTTCAATAAATGTTCGTATTCAATAAATATATATTATTGTTAATTTATTCAAAATAGGAAAGAAAACCTGGAATAGTATCATGCTAATTGAGACGCTCTGGAAAAAAAAATAAAAATAATCAGTCAACTTGAAAAATGAAAGAATATGATTATTTTATTGATTTCTATACATTTTTAATGAGAAATAAAAAGGGAACTTAAGCATTTATAAAGAAATGTAAATAGAAATAAATATAAAAATTGCGCTATTAATTTAAATATATATATTATTTAGACATTGTTGAAGTATAATAACTTTAATTTTAATATAATTATTTATATTATTAAAATATAGGACCTATGAGAAATTGAGGCCTAAAGCCCTTGCTTTAGTGGCTTTTTGTCCTAGCCAACCAAAGTGCAACAAACTTGATGGAGATAAAGGGAATAAATATGGTGGTGGGACATTTGGGCTACATGCAATTGACGAAGTATTTGGAAGTCGTAACTCGTAACATAAATTATGGAATCCAAGTTCACAGAGAACATAAATCGATTTTCATAAAGAGGTAATTTTCTTTTTCTTTTTTATTCTCCTTAGTGATCCAATAGTGTATTTGGGGTTATAGAGTAATGATTTTGACCATGGAATTTGAAAGATAATTCTCATCAATTATCACAGAAATCATTAAGATTTTTTTTTATTTGTGATTTTAAATATTAAAAAAAAAACTGAATTATACATTAGGATTTTGAATTTGGGTATTTGATAAATATTTAATCTTTAAGAAAGTAGGATATATTATGTGTTTTGTAAATCTTTGTTGTTGCATAATTTATATGAAAGCCTGCAATCGTTTCATGAATGACCATTAATGCAAAAAGGAACATCCTGAACACCCTGGACACGCACGCTCAGTAATGTGTGATTTTACTTACGGAAATTAACCAATTAAATTTGAATATGTAGTACATGTACGATCAAAAAAGATAATTTACAATAGATTCAGAGCCACATACGAATTCACCCCAAAAATAATATATAAAATATAGAAAAAAAATTCTTTATTTCTTCTTAATGAATTTACTTTAAAAGCAAAAAAATTCTAAAAATAGAAAAATAGTGCAAAGCAACACATTTTCTTCAAAACAAAGAAAGCGGCACAAAATTGTAAATGTTTTACCGGTAAGCTTGTTACCCAAAAAAAGGCCTTATAGTACGTTACAAGTAATTTCAGCCATACAAGGTCATTTTTCTGAAATTTTTCCATATGAGTAGTATATGACTGTTATCTCATTTATTAGTCTTTAATTAAATTGAATTAAAAATTTATAGAATTTATACCTTATTTAAAGATTTAAGGCCATAAAACAGAGAATAAATTAAGTGTTACTGCACAACTCATTCTGAGTTTTATTGTGGCTCTGCATAGCAATATTTACCTTGCAGAATTGGGTTGGGTCCATCTGCTTGAACAAGACCTGGGGAGTTACGTTTTTCTTTCATAATAATATTAAGCTATATCAGCCAAAGCCAATCTAGCCCCTTCAATTTCATCTTTATTGCTTGGCAGTTATAAGCCAAGTTAGCAAAGAGTGTATAAGTGCCCCACATTTATTTATTTGTCACTTTATTATGAGCTAAGTATTGCAAAACCAGTAGGTTGACTGGAGAGAGTCTTTGCCACATCCATTAGGGTATTAACAAGCTAGGGGCCGTAGGTGAATCATAAGTTAGGGTCCTACACATGGAGACGTGGCTTGTCTAAGTGTTATATACGTATCTGGGAGCAGGGAACACATAATTGCAGGCTTGAAGAGCTGGCATGTGCTTCGGTACTCTCATTACCAACCCCAATCAAAACATGGGTACTGGAATCACATGAGGTTTGTTTTCAAATCGAATACTATTAATGATTTGTTTTGTTTCTACAGGTTTAATCACTTAAATAATATATCGATGGTGTCCTTTTTAAAAAAAGCACACCACAAGAAAAGAATCCAATATGAAACAAAGTTTATATCTCTTTTTCAGTTACCAAATGAATCGGCCAATTGTAACTGACATATTCATTTCAAATTGCATCAAAGATATTTATTATTAATGTATAAATAAATTTGAAAAAGATCTTTTATTACTTTTGTAAAAAAGTTTCTCAAAAGGACCAAAAGAGAAAGAAATCAATATCGAAAAAACATCAACATATGATATTTTTTAAGGTAAAGATTCTTATTTTATTGGTAGTGTCAGGGTAGGTCTAAGGTTGCAGTGCATTTAGTGCAAGGGTTGGTGAATGTCTTAATTCTTTCATCACAGCAATGATAAAAGTGTTGTTCATTATAATGAAAGCAGATAACTTATTTCAGGAGATGCACCTAACTTGCACTAAGGCCCTTGGTATCATAATTATCAAATAGAGATTGAGTGTTTTACTCACAGGCAAAGTACTACCTAATTCTTCGTATCTAAGGGGTGTTTGGGATCAAGTTATTTAAAAAATTTCCTATGCATCTCACTTTGATCTTTTGGGATCACCATGTTTGGTTCAAGATATTGAATAATTTCTCGATCTAATATATTTCCCTAACTTTTCAAAAATAGGAAGCAAATGAGATAGAGAGCACTATTTAGAAGACCATTTCTAAGATGGTATTTTATCCTTAGATGGGTAAATGGAAAGACACATTCTATTGAAAAGACAAAAAAGACACTCACAAATTTTTTAGTATTATTAATCAACTTTCATAAAGTACAATAAAGGGTTATTTTAGTATTTTTAATCAATTTTCCCATCAATATTTTACCCTCAACCAAACATACACTCAGAAAATTTAACTCAATTTCCCCGGTAATATTTTGGCGTACCAAACAACTTTTTTTAAACTTTCCTACCAAATTCACTTTCCAACCATTTCCCTATCAATTACATTTTCCTAGTATTCAAAAAATTTCTCCTCAACCAAACATCCCCTAAAGCTTTTTTTAATTACCCCTGCATTCCAAGAACATTGTGATTTTAGTGCTCAAATTTATCACGTGACAGACTTGAACTGAATCTTGTTTATCTGAAGTGGGTTTAGCTGGAATTCTACAACTTACTAACATACTAATTAAGGAAATGTTATCAAAAAATTGACTATGTCTCATTTACCAAAAAAAAGAAAAATTGACAGTACATATGCTCCTTACTTCAACATTAAGTTATTTATGTGCTGCGTGGGCCGATGACGTGTCTAATTACAAGCCTGAGTATTGACACCTACTAAAATCCATTACGACCCAAGTGGCACAGTACTCGTTGACACATCAACCTTTTTTATCCCAATACGTGAACCAGTTTCTCCGAGCACATTTTAGCAACGTTGCTTAAATTAAGTGCTTTGGAAGAATGGTTACGGTCACCGGAAACAACGGTGTCCCCCTGATCAGTCGCACCAAATTTTTATGACCACAAATCTTATTTAAATTGACAAATTGTACAGCATTTCACATGACCTGTCAGGGCCGTGCAAAGAGACCGACTGATGCAAGGAATTTGGGCCAAAGTGTTGGGCCCAGCGCCACCTGGTAGGCCTGTTACCAGAAATATTCTCTTGCTCCTGTATACTTGTCCAAAATATACAGAGCTATGAATCCTTAAACTGGTTGTTAGTGGAACATGGAAACCAACTATGATCGGTGCAGGTTGTTAACCACTTTCGGCTGACCCATCAAAATCAGTGTTTGTTATGATGTAAAACCTTCGAATGGAAACCATCTCATATTCCGTTTCAAAATATACGTCGCTTTATGAAAGATATTTCATATTTTATTTTAGTTAATATTTAAATTAAAAAAAAAATACTGATGAATTTTTTAATTTTGTCATTTATTTTTAATATTTTAATTAAGTGGAACAAGAACACGTTAATAAAAAGAAAAAGTACTTTGATTAACTATAATTATATATTCTTAAATTTATTTATGAAGCTACTTATCTATTTATTGGATAATATATGCAACAGATACAACTAAGTTAATCTTGTTAATGGTGCTCATCTTGTGTCTCTCATATTCGTCAATCTTGTCTACCTTATAGGTTGTTATTGGTTTATGCCATCATATGCAGAGAAAAACTGTTTATTTTCAATGTTCATATTTCCTTTATGTACTAATTGTTTTTATCTAGATACACAAGGTAGGTTTACCTGCGTATATCTTCAATTAATTTCATATGTTCTATTAGTGTTCCGAGGTTTAAATAAGAAGTGATACTAATTTACAAGTGTATGGTAAAATGCAGTGCGGAACCGTATATAGTTTAAGTGTGGCCTCGGTCCGGGTTAAATTTTAACAATTTGTATTTATTATATAATTATATAATTAATTATAATTTGTCTCGGGTTAAAATTATAATTTGGCCCGGGCTATAATTTGTAATTTGGCCATATCTAAAACTTAAAATATTTTTGGTGAAAGATTTGGGAAAGTTTTATTAGGATATGTATTCAATTTCCACTTGTATAAAATAAAATAAAATATTTTTAGTAAAATTAAAAGATATTTAATAAAATTATAAATCTTCTTGGTGTTACCTACTCAGATACTTTGTATTTAATATAATTTAAATATATTATTATATAATCCAACTAAAATTAAAAAAAAATACGTATATAATTTTTTGGCTCACACTCAAATTCAAGCCCGACTCCGCCACCAGTAAAATGTTACAAAGATACACCCTTGAACAATTTAACCCTTTATTTATAATGGTTGGATGGAGAAAAATCCACTCCGTGTTTGGTTCTCTCTCTTTTTTCTTTTTTCTTTTTCCTTTTTTGTTTTTTTTGTTTTTTTTTTTTTGTGGTGTGCTATTTGGTTCCCTTTTATTAAAGATTTTATGGTATCATAATTTTTTTTTTTATTTCTTTACTCCCCCTTTCATGTTTATATATAGGAGATTCTGTTGAGATTTTAATATTTTAGAGATTGCCACCGTGCATATCTGGGGTCAAAGAGGGAAATGGTGAGTCTTAGATTTCGTCTGGACCAATTGTGCGAGTTAGTGGGTCGAATTATTAGATACTGTGATAATAATTAATTCAAAATACTAACTATATAAATATTTAATTTTTACTTGTGAGTTATAGTCAGGTGATGTAAATAATTAAGGTAATGAATAATTATAATTTAACAATATAATCGATAAAAATAACATTTTATATAATTAAATTTTTTGAGAATGATGAGCCTTATATATATATGAGCAAAGCAATGTAGAAATGTTGGTTTTCCGGTATTCTCTCATGGCTCAAGGGCCGCATGCAAAATAGCATCGAAGGATATGACATGTTGAAGACAATGAAATGCCCGCTTATTGTTAGAGAAAAGTATAACATACCACGGTAAAATTATTTCATTTATTTGATGGAGATGCAAGAGATGATGCCTTGTGGAGCCCCTCCACGAAATATGATGCGGTCCACATAAATATGTATAAAGTTTACTGTATGCACCACCTATTCAATCATGGACATCCCTTTTACTAAAAAGGAAAATTATTTTTCTATCTTTATCCATACTTTTTTTAAATATTCTTTTTAAGTTCAAAAAAATTCTCCTTTTAATATGGATGTATCTACATTTTGTTGTACCAAAATTTTTCTTCTTGAGATTGGCTAAGATAATAAATTAATTTTTATATACAGTGTAGAAGAATTGCTATATCTATATGTAAAGAATTTTTCATTTACTTAAAATAAAATAAAAAAAATGGTACAGTACTTTAAAAAAATAGATCCTTATATTGATGTCCGGCTGTAATCATTCTATTAAGAATCTCAATGGACTAGCTGATGAATATTGGCTATGTTTCATGCTCCAGTTTCCATCCATTAAGTTCCATGCTACATTATACATCTCGCAATCTGATATTTTGGGCCCATTCAATTTGGACATATCATCAATCGATTACCAAAAAGCAAAGAGGGTGGTATTAATCCCTTCTTCTTTTTTTCTTGGGCCATAGGATACACGAATTCCAGAATTGCTCTTTTGTTGGATTTGATAAGAAGTAAGCATCATCAAGGGATTGAGGCCGAACGAACTAATCCTAAAATTGGAAGTGGTGTTTGAGAATTGAGAATAAATCTTATGGGATCCCGGTAATATTATCCTTTCATGTCATAAGGCTTTTGTGGTTAAAATTTGTTGAAAGTAACATTTTCCCTTTACCCGAATTGAGGAGTGCATGCTAAAGCATTGGATTGAGCACTGCGACACTGTTCTTGTGTATAGCCATGATTAAAGAAGCATAAAGCACAAGTCTATGGAGGAGACGCCACAAGGATGGTAAATCAGCATGCACAATAATAGAAGCATAAAGCACAAGGCATGGGATGTGTATTGACTTATGAGTGGAACAAGCAACTTCATGGAAACTAGCTATAGGTTGTCATTATTAAAGAATGTTATGACCTATTTCAAATTTCTTCAGCCATGATTCACGAATTCCATGTTGGTCTGTCCCGTGTTAGCCAATAAAATAAAATATACAATACAGCACGTTTCCCGGTTGCGAAAATTGTCACGTCTTTTGTTGCAAGCGAAAAACGAAATCAAAATAACAATTAAAAAAAGAAGAAGACAAAATCAGGTTCAAATGGCCCGGACAGCCTGCAATTGACACAGTTATATATATATATATATATATATATATATATATATATATATATATATATATGCAGAATCCTTTGACACCGGTTTAAATTTGAAGTTTGACAACTCATCTAAAAACCGTTAGATAAAAGAAAATGAATGACTCTGATTTGTAAGCATGTGACACCATTGATTTTTTTTATCTAACGGCTCTCAGATGAGGTGTCAAACTTCAAATTTGACACATGTGTCAAAAGATCCTACCTCATATATATATATATATATATATATATATATATATATATATATATAGGGGCAGGATCATTTCACACCGGTGTCAAATTTTGAAATTTGACATCAAATCCCAACCGTTGATTTTCGCCAATAACGGTTATCATTTATTGGAATTAATAATTAATTAATAAGTGTAATTCCCAATAAATGATAACCGTTGATTGGCAGAAATCAACGGTTGGGATTTGGTGTCAAATTTCAAAATTTGACACCGGTGTCAAAGGATCCTATCCCATATATATATGGGTTTTATAATTCTCATTTACCATGAGAATTGCAATTTTCCTACACACCCTTCGATTTCCGTGCTGACATGGGTCCTACATATAATTTTTTCTAACACATGAGTCTCACATGCTTTTTATCTCTACAACATGAGATTTCAATTCTCCTTCAACATGAGAATTATAAAACCCTATATATATATATATATATATATATATATATGGGAAAAGTGGGTCCTACCTTGAATTTTTTTCATGTTAGTGACTCAAAGCATAAGTGGGTCCTACCTTGAATTTTTTTCTCTTTCCACTATTTTGTGGGACCCACTTATGCTATGGGTCATTAACATTAGAAACATTTTCTCCTTTAAAAGGAGAAACATTAGTTACACTCTTAATCTTGTCCGTTAATCCCACTTATATCTAACGGCTCAAATTTGTTAGTAATGTGAGCCATTAGATACAAGTGGATCAATGGTTAAGATTGAGTGTAAGACTTCTAACTCTTACACCGGTGTAAGAATATCCTGCCCCATATATATATATATATAGGGAAAAGTAAATCTTATGTTGTAGGAGAATTTAAATCTCATGTCATAGATACATCAAGTGTGGGACCCACCTATTTAAAAAAAATAAAAAATAAAAAAATGAGTGGCACACCTTTTTATGGTGTGTGTAGGAAGGGTTTGTTTTTCTCATAAAAACAAACCCATATATATATATATATATATATATATATATATATATAACTTTTGAGGTATAAAACTGGAATTATAATGGCTGAATATAATTTTATTAGATTGCATGTTATTCACGGCATCCCGAACCATCTTAAATGGCAAAACTTTCATCCATATAAACTCTTACGTAATTAAATGAATTAGTTTCTCCTTATCTAAATTGGATCTTCAAATCAATAGACCAGTTGACCTGCTTGCAGCCCTCATGTTTCACCTTCTTAGAATTCATGCATTCGATAGCCCGTCTCCTTTTCTCCATTATATAAATATATAACATGCTATAGCCCTCTAGTGCAACCTAGGTTGTTAATTCTTAATCAATATGGAGAACCATCAATTGTCATTCCCTGTCTCATCTTCATCATCCGTTTCTCTACCTGATTTAAAAGTTGCTCATAGCTCTAATATTCATGTTAAAAAGGCAGATGATCTTTCAAAAACTCAAAGGAAAAAGATATCAAGCCAGAAAGGTGGCAAAGAGATCAAGCAGCACAGATATGTATTTCAAACAAGGAGTCTGATTGATATTCTAGACGATGGGTACCGATGGAGAAAGTATGGGGAAAAGGCAATGAAAAACAATAAATTTCGTAGGTTTGTCTCACTTCATTAATAGTTTTGTTTTGATTGCACATTTGAAGTATAAGCTACCTTGTAAACTTGATAAACGGGGATATCTCTTATAAAAGATTCAGGAATTAGAAAACTCTTCGTGTGACAAAACCTATATGTTCAGTAATAAAAAGATTAGTTCACACTTATATTCCTTACTCACCACATTATTGACTACAACTATTGTTTTGCGCATGTAGCCTTATGAAAATCCCAAACCGGTGTTAATGTCTAGACTATATAAGCTCTGAGAAATAGTCAAATGGGTTTCATTGTCCAGTAGTACTATTAATAGCAACTTATCATCATTACTATGTTTTCCTTTCAATTTCAACAATTATTCCTGAATCATAACCTTGCTTGATTTTCGTTCCAATTTTATTTTTTTCTGCTTTCAGAAGTTACTACAGATGTTCTTATCGAGGCTGCAATGTCAAGAAACAAATCCAACGCCATTCCATAGATGAACAGATCGTGGTAACAACCTATGAAGGGATGCATATCCACCCTGTCGAGAAGACAGCTGAAAGCTTCGAGCAGATCTTGAGAAACTTAAAGATATACAGCCAACTGTATAACGTATCTCCAACGTTAGAATAAGGTGGCATGAGACTATTGGTGGAATTACCTAACGTTTTCTGAATGATCTTGTTCATTGCCGTTGATAAATAACATTTCAAAGTATATTTTCAGTTTGAGGATCGGAATATAATATATAAACTAAATAGCTAGTATTTGTCTTCTGTTCTGAAGATATTAATAAGTATTTTGTTGTTAAACATATATCTGAAGTACAGGATGTTTTGCTCAGGCGTTAATGGGGTATAATACTATGATGATTAGAGATATGTAGTAGGGTAGTTGATAAAACAATAACGCTACCTACAAATATTTATACCACACGTGACATATTCCGAATATTTGATATGTGAGACATTGTCACATGGGGTGAGTGCAACTAGAAAGACAATGACACACGATTAAGGGCTAAAGCACCATTCTAGAACTTTTGAGCAAAAAAATTGTCTAGTTAAAATGCACTGAGTAAGTTTTTTCAAATTAATACAGTTACAACGCCACCTAAACGGTTCTGTTACCATAAAACTTGGGAAGACCATAACTTTTGACTCGGATAATCAAATTAAATGATTTTTTTTTATTTCACGTAACTTTTCAAGATCTACGGAATGACACCCCATTTAACATATTTCATTTTCCAGAAACATAGTTTGAATTTGCAACAATAGTTCCACAATTATAAAATCATTTAAATCCAGAAAATCCTGAGTTCTTTCCGAACCAACACCATGAGCTAATGCACTTGCTATCTTCTGGATTTAAATGCTCTTGTGATTGTGATACCATTGTAACAAATTCAAACCATATTTGTGGGAGATAAAATATGTCAAATGAAGTATCATTGCATAGATCTTGAAAAATTATGTGAAATAAAAAAAATCATCTAATTTGAATACCTAAGTCAAAAATTATAGAATTTCAAAGTTTTACGATAATACGACTATGTGGCGTCAGTCATTCACCTTCCATGCTGAGGAGTGAGGACTCATAACACTGGATATTTGGACAATTGCCACGTATTTCTATAGCGTTGTTTGTGGCGTTTGAAAGGGATCATTATTTGCACGAATCTATTGCTGTGTTAGATTGCTTAAGGGAGTTCCAGTCTTGTTGCGGATTCTTGTAAAGCTGATTAAGTTCTTTATGTTTCTTTTCCCTCTGCTTGGAACCTTTTCATGGTGGGGACGCTTACTTTTGTGCTTTGTTTTTCACACTCCTTTGTTCTTCCTCTCATGCCGAATCCCATAACGGTGTGGTATTGGTTTCTCTAACGATGAACACAAACTAGCCGGCTCTATTTGTTTGAATATGTTGAGATTATAAAAGGCACCCAGGGTCCACAGTGGATTATTTTAATGGTGAGAAAACATGGCTCTTAATGTGTAAAGGAAAAAAGATAATGTTCACAAAACGAACCATTCAAAATAATTACAACAGAACTAGCATTATTGAATGGCAGTGCATTGTTAGTGTTAATGTAAATCTGTGCATATATCACTACTACACATTTTTTCTTTTCAGTGTGCCAAGTCCTACTATTAATGTCATCAATTTAATTATAACAAAATGTATCTGTAGAAGACAAAGAACCATATTTTCCCAATAGAATACTGCACAAGCATGACGAGCCTGTTTCGGAACCATCATTACGCTTCATAACTTCAAAGACACAGGCTTGATGATGGAAGATAATCTATAGTCCAAAGCATACATACATTTGAGTTTCCACATTAACGAGATAATTCTAATCCTAAATAGACATTAGCCTAGATAAAGTAGCATCTAAGAAACTATAAACGAGGAGTTAATAATCGGCAGAGCATTGTCTACTTACAGTTTCCTTACAGATCTATTGAAATTTACTAGTTTTCTATGCTCTTTTTGTGAAGAATCCCTCCCCCCTTCAGATTGCCGGTGTCACAAACATAAAACACATTCCCAGAGATGTCATTTACTTTCCAGCATTTAACCCGAAATGTCTTCTATAATGCCCTTCCCATCAAAAGCATCAAAAAAGAAAAAGTTTTTGAGGGGGTCTCCTTTTCCAGATATTGCTTTGATAACCTCCTGTGATGCCATAGTAGAAAACCTAGTAAGTTAGGAATCTCAAGACATCTTCGAAACAAAATGAAAACTAACAGAATACCTGTCCAAGGATTCCCCCGATAATAGCACAAACTGGCGGAAATTCTGTTGTGCTTGTCACCAATCTTTCTAGAAGAGAATCAGGTACATGAGATTGATTGAGAGACTGTCAATACAAACAGAAAGATGAGAGGAATAATGTAATTAACACAAAAAATGTACACAATAAATTCCAGGAAGCATACTTGTGCAGTACAGAGCTCCTTTTTCAGCTTGAGAACCTCAGAAAGATCTGCAATTGAAACTTCTCCTGCATTACGTCCTTCAGCCTCTTCAAACTTTTCGATTACTGCAACAGACAATTTGGTGTTATTGTATGCAAATTTGTCAACATACAGGTCGGTCTCACAAAATTAAAAAAAATAAAAATAGACAAGAGGAACCAAAAAAGATAAATTTTCCACCCAGAAGACAAGAAGAAGCATACAGCTCTCACAGCACCTCTCTCTCTTCTATCTATAAGTTAACTTGTGCAGACACCCTTTACTAATAGATCCATTTATTAATTGACTTGAATCATTTATTCTTATTTTATGTATTTACGTACAAAAACAGAACTGAAGAGTTTACCAAACCTCTCATAGCAAAGTACAGCTTTGACGTTCTCCTGTGAAGTGCCTTCCAAGGTACTGATAATGCATCCTGCAGCAAAAATCAAATAGGCACACTCAAGAAAATGAAGCTCTCAACTAGATGTCATTTACAGTGAAGTAAAATACTTAACCTACATAGAGAAACTCTTAAATGACAGGAACAATATTGAATGGCATGCACAAAATCCCTCACCCAGACCCGTCATTTAAGCTTCTTAAGTGCAATTTATTTTCTGTGTATAGCAAAGTCAATATATGATAAAGGCCCATTTTCAGTTTTCAGAACCAAAACAATTCTGAAATTCTGAATCCAGCAAGAAAATCACATATGCAACATGACACACCTCAATTACATGACAAGAAATGATACTACTTTTTACCAATTTCAGGATTATTATTTTAGGATCACTAAATTTATGGTTATACATTGAAAGTCGCCCAATGGGAATCTAAAAGTAAGTAAATAGCTCAGTCAACCACTAAGGTTATCAGGTGCACTAAATATCTGTCAGGGCAAAATTGGTCCCTTATTTTTTCTCTATTATATTCTTTTCTTTTGCAAATGATACTTGAAATACACTGAAGAGTGAAGGCCTTGAGGGTTTCGACTCATCAAGACCATAGCACTAAATAGTGAATACTATTTTGAGAAAAACTAATGGATTTTTTTAACACGAGATGAAGAAATGCAAACATATAACTAATGAATTAAGACAGACATACCTCAAAAGCTGGATATTGTAGCTGGCATTCAATAGTTTCCTCCAGTTTTTTCTGCCAAAGAAGAAGGAAGCATTAAAAAGAAATCAGTGATTGTTGTAGAAGCACAGTACCTTTAAATGCTTATCATCTAGAAGGTCCAATCACACAAGCAAGTTATAAATTGTTACTAACAAAGATTAGGGTAAAACAACATATGTTTAAGAAAATTCTTAAACGAAACGCAACTACCAAACAGTCAACAAACCACAATCATAACTGCATTAAGAATATAGGCATAAAAGTTTAATGCATCACAACTTACAATTCCACTATGTATTCTGTTTTTCAGATTTGGCCTCTATCACTAATTGCAGGAAAAAATGCCCACTACTGATGATGATTTTAATAGATTTTATATTCATTGTCAATTTGTCATCATACGTAGAACAAAAATTTAGATTGTTTATGAAGCATCATATACAAAACACAGGGATTGCCACAACATATCAAAGAAGATAATATCAACTCATAAAAGCAGATAATTAGCTCTGAGAAAGTAGATCCACAAGAGTGATACCTTCGAATATTTATAGTCCTGCAGATCAACAAAAATTTCACCGCAAGAATCCCTACAGTCAACAGTATAGAAGGCAACACGTTTTGATAGCTTCCGGCATTTTTCATTAATAAGTTTCTGCAGCAAAAGACTAAATGTAAACAAGAATGTTAAAAAAAATTTACAATATATATATATATATATAAGAAGATTTTCCACAGTACTTTGGCTGAAAGTGAGCAACAACTGACGACAACAACATCAAATTTGTTGAAGAATTCTACATCAAAACTTGACAAATCACCTGCAGCCAATATGAACAGAAAAGGACAACCACAAAACTTTATGTAAAAAACCAAATGCAAGCAATGCAGAAAAAGAAAACAAATCAATAAGTGCCAGGGTCAAAACAAAAACCTTTTTCCACAGAAACATGAACCATAGGATTGAAGTCTTTAAGTGAATTACAACAAAGCTGCGCAAGGGTCTTTCCACCATACAAATTCTCATCAGGAGGAATAAGAAAGTTTGAGGACAATGCTTCCTCAGTGGCCTCCCGATCATCTATTAAGGTTAGACTACCTACTCCAGCCAGAACGATATTCTTGCAAAACTATACAACAGCAAACTCAAACTCCTTACACATTATGACAGCAACATGAGAAACAAAAGTACAACAACCAATAATCAAATACAACTCCTTTTACTCTCTTTTTTTCGTGTCAGTCAAATTTGAGGTGCCAGAGAGACAAGTTTTAGGTTTACCTCAGCTACAGTTCCTTTCATTCCACAGACTAAGACATGAGCTTTGCTTAATCTAAGACAACAGAATCACAAACAAAAACTAAAATTAAAACACTAACCATAGAAGTCAAGAAGACTATATTACATACAACAAAGAACAAAAATTAGCAGAATTAAATTAGGTTAGAACAGTAAAGTAACAAAAGCAAATTAAGCATAACACAATTCCGAAAATTAAAAAATTATAATAATTAAAATTGAAGGAACCTTCTTTGAGCATCTGCTCCCCAAACCCTAATCTGACGGTCATACAGAGCAGTCTCCTGCGCCGTCAACTCCTCGCCGTCGCCGTTCATTCCCAACCGTAACCTGTTCCACGACATCATTGAAATTTTCACTTTCGATTTCGAAGTCACAAATTATAACAAAGATATCACAAACTTGACCAACAGTAACACCCACTCGCGCGCAGAATTCCCCAAAAACACTAAAAATTCGTATCTCAGTTCAAGGGCGCGGCGAGATGAGTCGTCGGTGAGTGTCTTTGGAGTCAGTGAGTATAAATAAATTGGGCTTTTAAGGTTTGGATCTATCTAACTACATAGGGCATTCATTGGCCCATTATGAAATAGTTGCAGCCCAGACCACAGTTTTTTAAATAGAACCGTTTTTGTGTCCCATGGTTTATTAAATTTTAAGAGAGAAATTTATCTCTGATATATACCTAAAAATATATGAAACTCATATTTTATTATTATCTCTTTTCTCCTTGCCCCTACACACTTTTATATATTTATAAAAAATAAATTTATTTTCTATAACGTAAGAAATATTAAACTTTCGTTTTATTTTCATAATCTAAGCTAACTAATGTAGCTTCTTTCAATATTGAAGCAGTTAATCCGTTATGTATGTTAACTTATATAATTAAAGAGTGCGTATATTAGCAAACGAAATTAAAAAAAAAAATGTTGGTAAATAATTAATGGTCAATTTAAATTGACATATATAAATTAAGAAATTATCTTTGTCCACCTTGAGATGTGTCCACAAGAAGTTAGAATATTGCCTCGTGCACAAATTCAATTTTATTCTATATTATCCCTTTTGTTGGCGAGAACGTTGCTTCACCAACAAAAATGATTCCTCCTCGCCCAAAAATAAAAGGAAGAGCACCTTTTTGTTTTATTTTTACGTACACAAGTTCCCTGCTTTTGAAAATGTGCAAATTTCAAGGTAGTACAAATATAGGTGCAGTGCTAGAATAGCATTTCTTTTTTGTCAATGTGCCTAGGGATTCCAGTGGTTTGACGAAAATTCACAGACAAAACGATCGGTTGACGGCAGACTAACCAAACTTGCCTAGAAAATAGAGAAGGGTTGTGTATAATTTTCTTCATCCTAGAAACAATATGCTTCGTCTTTGCCTCCTCCGCAGCACATAATATCGATTTCAATCCTGCCAAAAAGTAAATATAGGGTATCCAAAAAATAAAATAAAAAGAAAATATAGGATCAATATTAAAAGAGTAAATATCATTTTTGGTCCTTAACAAAATATATGATCCCTACTTTAGTCCGTTACAAAAATAAATTAGTCAGTTAGTCCCTAAGAAATTTAAAGTGGACTCATTTAGTTGAAATCGTAGTCCCTCACAAATTCAAAATAGACCCATATTAGTTCCTCAAAAAGATTAAAATAGATCCACTTTAAATTTGTTAGGGACTAATTAACTAATTTATTTTTATAAGGGACTGAAATGAAGATCGTATTTTTTATTAGAAATCCAAAAGAGTATTTACTTTTATTTAAATGTGCCCACCGGCCACGGCCAAAACTTCGGTAAATTAACCATAATGAAGATTTAAACAATATTTTATTAGGTTTCCTCTTTAGTATAGAGAGAGTTGAAAACTTGAAATTGAATAGAAAGCAAGTTGAATAAAGGTTATACATATATAGGACCGAATGATGATGTATGTGTGGCCTACTGGCCTAAACCAAGGTTGGTGATAGACAAAATATCGCTGAAAAGGTAAGGCAATGTGTTTGAACAAGTTGGGAGTGACTAACCTGTATCAGGGCGAATATCCCGATTCCAAGCTCCTAGCATGGTCCACAATGCCACAAGTCTCACATCAAGCGTCATGAACAGCAACTAGCTCATTTAAGTGTGTTGTGGTTAAAACAATGTGTACTTGATTTTCCCCGATCTGGCAGCGAGGCTATTCAATAAAATTTTGCTTTTGCTTTCGCTTTTGCTTTTATCTCGTGTGGGGGCATGCAGTTCTATTATATATGCCCATACTTGCTGCATGGGTTAGTCGCAAACTAGATTCAATCTTAAGTATGGATTTTGGGTGAATTGAAAGGGTTTTCGCTTTTCTATTGATGAGGAAACAGAGGGTCGGGTGAGTGGGGAGTCCATGCTCCCCAGTCCCACCCTAATGATCATTCATTTTCTTGAAATATTAAAAGTGCCCTCAATGCAAGAAAAAGCCCAGCCTCAGTAATTAACTCCAGCCAACTAATTTAATCATATTCAAATATCATAATTATTGATCAGTTAGGGAGATGATTATGATTGATGTATTGTGAAAATGAACGGAAGGTCAATAAAAGCTGGCTCCACTGTCATTTAAATCCACTGGGTAAACTTTTTAGTTAATGAAAAGTATAAAGAAAAAAGAAGAAGCTGAAGAGTCCACAATTAGGATTTACCCGAATACAAAGAAATTGTAGAAAATAAGAAGTTAACTTGAAATATTAGAAATACGAAAAGTCAACAAAAGAGGTAAATTAGAAAAATGAAAAGTAGCAAACAAATAATTAAAGTAACAAATTAAAAGAATTAGCAAATAAAAAATTGGAAAAATGCCATGTATCGCTTTGACGGAACAACTTTAATATAAAATAGAAATCATATTCATATCGTGTTAGCGAGTGATATTAAAATTAAATCATCCTTCAAGTGAGACGAAATACACAACTGTGGTACCTAACTACCTATCAATAATAGATTATATAATTTCATATTTTAATTTATTTTAACAAAACCCAAAGAAAGTAAGAAAAACTAAAATCAAAGAAAAACTACACCCACACAATCCACTTAACGCAGTAAAGAGGTCTCGTTTGGAGGCTGATTCCACATGAACATTTCTTCGTTATTCCAACTTTCTAGGCACTTTGTTTGGTTAAAATCTCAGCAGCTCGGCGTACAGGTTCCTTCCTATTATTTGAATAACTTTATAATATGGATTTATTGTTTCTCTTCTCAGAATATAAAATTATTTCATACAATTTCAAAATTATATCATTTTGAGAATTAGGGAGGTAACAAAGGATATTTCAATAATTTTGTTTATTTATTTATTATATGAATATTATTAAAACATCATTCATTAATTTTCTTAACATTCAAAATCACATAATTCTAGGATTGCAAAAGATAATTTTATCTCCTGTAATAATAAACTCTTATAATATTTACAATATATCATATTAGGAGAGAAAAAGTAGAAAATAACTATAGCACGCCGGTTGCCAAGTGACATTCCTATAACTTCATATTCTTTCTGGGAGATGTTATATTTATTACTTTTTTTCTTATTATCTCTTACTACCAAATTTTAATCGTTGATTTTCGTCAATCTAAGGGTAATGTTAATTAAAAATTAATAATTAATTAATATGTGTGACCCAATAAATTATAACCGTTAGATTGATAAAAATTGACGGTTAAAATGTGATAGTAAGAGGTAATAAGAAAAAAATATAGTAAGTATAACTTCTCTCATTTTTAATTATAAATTTTTAACATTGAACACTAAAAAATCATTTTTCATTAAATCTCGATTAGTAAAAATGAGTTGAGAACAATTTTTTACTCTTCTACATATTAAAAAAATTATTTTCGAATTTAAACCCATAATCTTTTAATTACACATAAATAATTTTATTATTATTCACGCTCATTATTTATAATAAAAAAAACGTCTAGTAATATTAATATATTGATAATATAAAGAATGAAGAATTTATTAAAAAGTGTCTAGTGAAACGTTAAAAACAACTAGTTAATAGGAAGTTAGGAACGTGCTTATATACAGTGTGGGATTCAAGATATTTTACGATGACGAAGTGTTAAAATAAAACATTAAGGACCGTTTGGTACGTGGGATTCTTGAGAAACTGAATTTTTTTAAATTTTTTTAAATTTTTAATTTTCAGATATTATTATAAACTGAATGTAAAAATCATATTTCTAAAAATTAAGATTTTCAGATAAAATAAAATTTCTCATCTACCAAACGCTCCCTAAAGTTATAAATATTATTAACAATAACAAGAATTATTAACTATTATAAAAAAATTTGAGAAGAAAATTAAATTATTATTAGTAATAATTTTTATAATTAAAAAAATGGTTTTATACATATTGCAATCCTAACCACTTCTTGGGTGTGCAGAGCTTATACGTAGGACATAATGACATGCTCATTGAATCCAGTCTTGAGGTCAAATCGATATGACTTCCGTGCATATGAATTTTATGCTGTAATGATCTTATTATTCCTATTGTTCAAGACTTCAAGCCCCCGATAATTCTTATAATCTTTGGCATATTTTGTGACAAGTAAGGCAGGTGTTTAAGGAAAATATGTTGGAGGGTTCCCATATCGGAGATATAATATTAGGTTTTGCCGTTTTGGCAGGACCATTGGATTTTGTTCTGTCTCTATAATTTGGATAATTTGAACCTTATCGATCTTTGCGAGACTGATCAGATGCTGAAGTGGCTGAATTGGTTGACTCCAATTGGGTGAAACCGAGTGATTATTTAAGAAGTGTTACCTTCCCATGCTTGTGCAAAAATTGCTGCATTAAACCCTCCTTACTCTTGATTGGGCTTTCAGTCATGATGTGCGTCTTCTGTCAAGAATGCGTCCAATGCTATTGTGGGAAATAACAGGATCTCCAATAACGATAACCAAACACTTGAGTTGAGTGGCTCTTATCCAAATGAAAAATATCTATTACACATTACTTTAAATAAAATAAATTAAAATATACATATATAATAAATAATCAAATTTATCAGATAAGAAAAGCTGTTGTGTTTCCGTTAAAAATATTTGTTTAACTTGAAAATAATATTTGATAAAATCAATTCATTTTTTTAAATGAATCGGTAGTTTACGAATACAAATGAATAGAAATAAAAATAGATAATTTTTTTACTTTTTATCTTAAAATTAAATACATATATCTATAATTTGTTGAATACATATTTTTTCCAAACATAAATAAAATATATTATCACACATATTTTTTCTCAATTTTTTTTAAATACAAAAATAAAAAAGTATTTTTCCAAAAACAGTATCAGAAGGATCCTCTTATGTGAAAAAGTGATCATGTGGTCATATTATTTGATCACAACTACTCATTGATGATGAGATAAGAGAGAGAAAAATGTATAATTTTTAAATGAGTGGTTCTGATGAAATAACATGACCATATGACCACTTTTT